CCCTGCCCGGCCAAAAAAGAGGATTTTGCGAATAGCACTCTCATCACCTTCCTATTTCCTGGGATGCCCTGCAATTCCCCATAGGAAGAACCGGAAGGAAGGAGTGAGGTCAGCAACTACTTTCGCTCTGGCCCCGCAAGCCGAGAGACGTGTTGTAGGTTTGCTTCCCAGTGTCCTGGAACTGGGACCCAACATCCAACCGGATGGTCTCCCATCCCCTTCTCTATTAACTTTCGCCTGTTTGGCGGACTCTCTTCTTCCTTCCCTCCCTTCGCTCAGAAATATCTGGGTGAGGGTCCAAGGGGGGTGCCATCTGGAATCCCTCTGTGCTTGTTTCTAAACACAAACGTCCTGCCAGTTTTTGGAAGGGATGGCTCTTCGATTCATTTTTCCTTTACAAACTAGTTCTCTTCTTGCAGGGAAGCACGCCGAGCAAACCTATTTTTAAAGCCAGCCTTAACATCGCTGCATCAGCCTCCAGAAGGTGACTTTTGGGTGAGTGGGGAGGACATCTCCCATCATCCCCGGATAAGAGAGGATAATGAGGGTTGCGCTCCAACCCTTCTAGAAGTCACCCATCCAGCACTTAGCCCTGAACATCCTCAGAACTGACCTATAAATTAATCAGGCTCATTGATTAAAAATTGATCTTAAAAGGACGTCTTCCAAGCGGCTCGCAGGGTTTTTCTGCTTTTTATGGCTAAATTGCTTTTAATACCTGCCGTAATGCACATAAGCTATTTAGGAAAAGAAGCTTTGTTTTTTTTTTAATTTCTTCCAAAAGGTCGCTTGCTCATTTGCCCGCCAACGTAGGCAGACCTAAATGGCTACTATCTTTAAGTCTGGCTCTCAGGAAAGCTCTCTTTGCAAGCTAGAAATGGCCTTGACCGACCAACACCCCCCCCACCTCCCTTCATATGTCTCCATTCGCACAACCAGCTTGGTAAACAAGGACAGGGCTGGTGGCAAGATTTAAGTTTTAGTGGCAGCACGGGGGTGAAGGAGCGAAGGTTCGCAGGCCGTGCCTCGCTGCTCAAGGCTGACATTTATGGCTCCTTTAGGTAATTGTCAACTAGAATCTCCCTTTCCCAGCCTGCTTCTCATTTTCCAAGCTTTGACCTAAGGCCTACCTCGCCAACGTGATCTCCCCTTCTTGTTTCCCCCCCCCAAAACACGCAAGCTGGTTCCCAGACAGCACTTAGCAGGAGCTAAGGTAGTTGCCAGAAGTGAGACAGACGGGCCCCGAAAGCTGATACGGCTACCGTGATCCGCCGGGACGCAAATTTAGATCCCATTCACAGGCTGCCAGGGAAAGGGGGCAACGCTACAAGTGTGCCCAGTTGCAAAATCCATCCGACACCACGGGGCAACCGAATGCCTGCCCCCCTCAACTCATGACACTTTGCACAATTGGAATAATAAAAGGCCGTATTCTGACTCCAGCGGGGAGGTTTGAGACACGGGACAAAAGTTTTTCCATGCTGCGCAGAGGCTCTGGAAACCAGGCCAGAAGGACTGGGTTACCCAGTGACCTTAAGTGACCTTCACTCTGAACCACCTCTTCAGGAATGGGGAGATTCCTGCAGCGCTTTGGGAGCCGGGGCGTGGGAGGGACGGGGAGGGTTGTGTTAGCAAGATTTGGCAACCGGAGAAAGGCTTGGGGCGTGCAAGGAGTACAGCCCCCAGGATTCCCAGCTAGCAACTGGGGGGAGCCGGAGCCCCGTCAAATCTGGAGGTCCCCTGGGTTGCTGGGTCAGAGAAGGGGGTGGGTAGCCTCAATGGGGAGAGACCCTTGATGAAAACAGGCCGACTTGGAACAGGGGGGGGGAGACGTGCTTCTTGGCCAAAGGGGTCCTAGAGATGGGGGGCTTGGAATGAATTGGGGATGGAGACGGTGGGAAGCGAAGGCTTGGGTGTGGCCAAGGAATGCCAGCAGCGGAGCGGCCTTCTTCTAAGGAGGTTTGGGAACGGAAGTGCCAGCGCCAAGCAAGAGATCCACGTCCCTCCTTGCGGGGAACAGCGCAAGCCCCGGGGAAGCCGCCGTCAGGGCCAAAAGTTGTGTTCGGGACAGAGCCGGCTTCGTTTCCAGGCTCCGGCCCCAGCGGGACCCTCCGATCGCCAGAGGAGAGGCAGCCGGACTTTGGTGCCCTCGCGGGCTTCGGGCCGGTCCGAGGAGCAGGGGGGCGGCGGCTGGCGCTGGGTTAGGGGCCGGGGGAGACTTGGAGGGAGAGGCTGGAGGGGCATGGGGCAGGATG